TCAATTTGATGTGAACATTGTAGTTATTTGTACAAATTTTGTCCGCGATCCTTTGCTTGTCTTCTTGCCAACATCGTTGTGTAATCGGGTTTTTTTAGAAAATAGACGTTATGCTGACTTTTCATGACGTTTTAGTTTTTAGTGCACATAGTGTCAATTAACTTTTCCCCAAAAATCAGTCTAATTTTATTGCAACATTCATTTTTTTAATTCCCTTGCTATATGCTCGTTTCTTTCATGACGTGGGATTTTATATGCTTCCTTGGATGTCTTTGGCAATTTTTAATATTTTGAGCGTTTTGTTTATGTTATGGCACCTTTCTGTCTTCTTAAGATATCAGTAGACCTGATTGCAATGTTTATGCTAACTCATTTTTGGATAGGGAAATGGCTCAGGTTTGATTGCACTCGAATTTGCACTGGTTTATCTCTAAAGATTTTCGTTTTTCTTAAAATCCACTGCAGGCAATACCATTCGGCAAATGCCATTCCTGAGTCCCGACTGGAGGTGTCCAGGTGACAAATGGATCAAATCCTCCGAAGATGGCAATATATGGGAGAACGCCAAAGATTGGAGAGAAAAAGTTTTCTCGAACATGAATGATGTTGCTTTAAAAAGGTCACTCTCTTCTCCCTTTTATTCTTTCGATTGTAGGATTTACCGTCAATCTCTTACAGATGATCGCCTTAGCGCTGAGGATTTTGAGTCGATGCTGGCTAATATTGTTTGCTTCCAACCGCATATTCGAATCAATTTGTACAGTACTCGGGAAATCGCAAATGTCAGTACAATAACCGATGCTCTCCTGAAGTTGGACATGAAGTCAGCTGTAAAGGATGTGCGACGTTTTAATTATGTTTGTAAGGTAACACTTCTCATCTACCGCAACATTTCTTAGCTAGTACGCCGTCTGTTGGCTGATCGGCTACACACACTGACAGGTCGATCCCAGCTCCACATAATTGAGTTGTTGAAGGTCATAATGCACCAAGGTAAGGCGGTTTTTACAAGTTCTTATCGTCTATTAGTCCTCGGAAGTTGCAATCAGACCCTCGTCTTTCGACAATTGCTTGACACCTTGCGGACAAATCTGGAGCGCCATGAATACGATCACATTGGGAGTTCGCAGTTGTGGACCAATCATTGGGAGTCCCTCACCAAGATGAGGGCAATTCTGGACGATTTCGACATAAAACAAGTTTGTTTGCTTGATCTTAGTGTTTTTTGCTTTAAACGTTCACTATGTGTAGCTTTAAAAGTTGAGTCCTACGTTGTTATTTGCAGTAATTTCTCACTTCAATCAATTCTTGGTGTGTCTTAAGTCAATCAGGTTTGTTTTCCACTTCATCCATAATCCTGGGCAAAAGGAAAAACACAAGTTTTCAAAGACAAAGTTTCGGTGAAAAGTAGAGATCTTGCTTAATCACGTCGCCTTCCAAGATGAATAATTGAGTGTTTTTTGTGGTCGTTTTGGTATGATGGGTACGAGTGTGGTTTCGTAATTTTCTTAAAGCTATTCATTTGTGAATTGCTGCTGCTTTGATTGTACTGCGTTGGCGACAATAGTTCTAAAAGGGCCTATGACTCACGCCGAAAACCTCGAATAGGACGCGTCAGAATGGCGTCACTTTCGATCGGGGACGTTACTGAGCTTTGCTTCACGCATCGCAAATTCTCGTTGGGCAGACATTCCCTTAAGGTTGTCATTCAAAATGTTCTCGGTTCCTGTGCGTAGTAGTATCCCTATTAAAACCTTCTATGAACAAGCATTTTATCTCGTTAATACTTTGCTGGCAGTAATTTTCTCACGCAAAAAAGATAAGATTTGTTTGATTTTGAAAATGCACATTTTGTATTTCATCATCGTCTACCACATCTTGCCTTCGTTCATCACCAGTCCCTCTGATTAATGGCATTCAAGACAGCGTGTTTCCGTTTCTTCAAACTGATAGCATATAGGAAAACCGGATTGGTTCGTGCATTGTTAGTTCAGAGTCTGTAACCATTACTAGACATTGCAAGTGAAGTTGCGTGGTTAAAAGTCTAGAACTAGCAAGGTAGTCTAACTACAGTCTTAATGAGTCTATTCAGTTCTGGTTATATTTTAAAGTGTAGGGTTTTGCGCGACAGGTGGGCATTTACGGTGTGTGATTATCATTCAAGATGCCTCCATTGTGCAGAATGATTCTCCCTCAAAACTATGATTTGCATTGCAGACCCTGACAAACAGTGTTGATAAGCTCAACCCCCATGTGAGTTGCATTAGTGATTCAGATACGCAAAGTGAGAGCGGACAATCGCGGCTGGAGAATCTGCCTCTCGAATGCCTGAAGCGTATTGTGGCGAATGTAAATAGCCCAGAGGACTTGGAGTCGGCTTCACTGGCTTCACCCACTCTGGCGTTGGTAGTGAATGACGAGGTACTCTGGCGCCGACTGGCTACTCGTAGCTTCACTCCCAATCAAATAATGTCAGTGCAATTCGGTCGTACTAGCTGGAAAGCAGTACCTGCGGATAACGGGGCACGGGACTGCAACTGGCGTCGCGCCTACATTCGTCTCCTTCGCCGATTTGGCGAGCAACAGGTCCACTCCGCCTGTCTTGGCATTTGTGAAAACTGTTCCTGCCTTTATTGGATGGTGAGATGCTTTTTACTGTTTGTTAATATTTCCTAATTGAGTGATTCGGCATTCCGATCTGTATGGCTGCTATGCAGATCCTCGACCTACACCTCGGATTCACGGTTTGGCAGTGAATCAAATGCCAGTCATATTTAGCCATAAAAATGAAATTCCTCAGCCTTGGTAGTGAATCGAGCATGTATCAATTTCAATTCTAGCTGTCATGATAAGGCTTCTCCTTTTTTTGTATTTTGCGATGTTCCATCTATTAAGTGATCTCAAATGCTACTAATTTTGGACCTACGTTTAGACAAGGGACCAAATTCTTGTAGAGGGTTTCATTTGTGGTAGGGTTTTATAAACTTTCTTTGACACATACTATGTTAAACTCTGCGTCCAAACCACCTCCGCTGAGTCATGGAAGATAAAACGATCAGTCGCGTGATTGGGATAAGTAGAGCTCCATTCCGTCGACTCTTTTCACCTTCATTGTTAGCACTGCCCACATTTACAACTATGTTTATGCTACAACGGGTTGGTGAAGTGAATTGTGGTATCCTGCCAGATGAGTGGAGGCATTTTGATTTCACCTCCATTTCAACAACACGGTGGTAGGAAGCACTGGCAAATAGCAATGTCCGCAGCTCGTGATACCCATCTGATGATGCCTTTTTTAGCTCTTGGGACACCCCTGCTACCGGCAGGAGAAGCCACCGAAGGTGCGATTGCTCTCTCCAGAGGACTTTATCGCGCTTTTTGCCAAATGATCTTTCGTTTATGGCCTCATCTCACCTTCATTACTCGCCTCCTCCACCTTTTTTTATACGACCCACTTTCACTTATTCGCTTCTCACATACTCGCGAGCGTGCTTCATTGACATTTACTTTATTTTATTGTTTTTATTTATTATTTCTATCTGCCTTTTTGGCGCCACATTAGAACATTTGCGCTCATTTTTATACAACGTCTCTTTTTGGGGAACGTGGATCTTGTAGGGCGGGTCGGAGAGGAGCAATTGGTCGACATAAACGCCCCTCGTTAGTCAGGTTACTATTTGGGTTGACGCCTTGCAAAACACGGTTACTGGGTGTCGACGAGGTACTTAAGGCAACATACCATACCTAAGTGTGGCATATAGGCATCTGCCCATTTCTGTCCAAATGACGACATTTGTGGTCATTTCTGAAGTCGGTGGGTGTGC